GGCTTCTGCCCCTGCCTACTGCGTTTCAGGGAGAGGGTGCAGGCTGGGAAGGTGCCCTGCGAGGCGTAGCGGGTTTTGCTGGCCGTGCCAAGGCCGCAGGACTGCATCTTGCCTTTCTTGCTGCCAGCTTCCTCTCCTGTCAGGGGTGAGAGACTGGAAATAAATGCGGTGACTTTTGTAGAGTTAGATTTAGGTGATTCTTCCACGCTTGCCTTCAAAGTTTTGCCATTCCATGATGCTGAGTGGTTTGTAGGGTTTGTTTGGTTTTTTTTGTTTGTTTGTTTGCTTTTGTGAAGTCTTGTTTTCTATTTTTAAATAATTACAGTGTATGTTTACCTTACGGTAGCCAGTGCTCCACCAGTACAAAACCAGCAGGAAATCCGTCTGAGTGAGGGGCAGAGCTGCTTTCCCTGGTGTGAAGCTCAGGGTCTGTGAGGAGAGGCAGCACAGCCTGCCCTAGTACTCTTGAGGCACCCCTGAGGGCAATTTTTTATCTCAATCACTACAATGCCCATAAAAAGTGCGATTTAGGAGTCAGCTTGCATCTGGGTGATTTATAGAAAGCATTATATATACTCTTTCTCCTTTCTGTTGTTGGTAATGAGATTTCTCCACTCAAAAATTATGTCTGTTTATTCTCAGAACTACTACTTTGTCCTTATGGAGTGTAGTCATGTTTTGTCTGAGCTTTACAGTAGAAATTAGGAGAAATTGAGGGGATTTTGAACACTACTGTGAGGCCTCCAAATTTGAGACACGTCCAGAAAGAAAAGGAAAATCCACAGGCCTGGAAAAGCTGTCTGGTGTAGTTTGTGGATCAGGGCACAGCCCTTGCCAACCTGCCCAATTGCACCAACCACTTACATGGGAAAAAGGGACCAGAGAATGTCTACCGGTTTTTCATTTATGTAGCTGATGGCATCCTGAATGTGGAATTTTAAATGTATTTTTTGTTACAACATGTAATCAACAGTAACTGTGGATACACCCAGCTAAATCCCAAAGGCTCAGGCTAAAATTCCTTGGTGGCAATTTGCTAGATTCCAGTTAGTCACCTTACTTACGTCAGTACACCCCACTAATGAAAACTTAAATAATAGTTATTTCATTATTAATATCCAGTGTTAAGATTTACAGTTCTGATATGTTATATACAAAGACTTTTTTGTTCCACCAAACATCTTGGTTTCTTGGTCTGTGAACTACAGCCTCCTATAGTCTTCTCTTGTAACACATTACCTTCCAGTTAGTTTCCTGAGCTGTTTGTGCATGGTGCTCCATCACATTCTTTTTGCAGGCACTGATACAGTACATCTGCATACTTGCTAACCCACTTGCTGCCACATAGCATCTGGTTTGAAGAAATTTATCCCAAATAATGTTTCTTCTGACCCATCATCTCATAAGATTATAATGTGAAAGAGTTACTCCTCTATTCATGTCAACCGTTTTCTTTATCTAAGTCAGAGCTAATTATCAATTATTAACATGTAAGTGCACATAAAAGTCTGCTGCTACTCCAGAGCAGCTATTGATGGGAAAGTCAGTGGGGCAACCATACAGGTATAGTTGTTCATGGGGCTGTTGTGGTTTTTGAAAGAAGTGTGCCAGGTGCTGCAAACAAATTGCTCAGGATCAATACAACCCTTTTTTGTGGTTGACATATCGAAATGTATCACAAAAAGTGATGTAGAATCACATATCCTTCCAATATTTTTGCAGATTTAAATATGCTAAGGATTAATTAAACAGTAAAAAACCTCACTTGTCTATTTCACAGCATCTGTAGACTAGGCTGCTGCTTTTAATATGTAAGGGAAGGAGAAGAGGTAGGAGCAGTGATAGGGCAAGAGGAAAGAAATTGAGTGTGCCAGGTATTTTGAAAAGCTGTTCCTGGGCCTGCTGAGAAGATGGAAATATTAGGGCTGGTAATGGCTGTGTTTTGAGGCGCAGACCATCCCAGCAGGCATAGTTATCACTCTACAGGCTGCCACCCAGGAGCTGGCAATACCAGCAGTAGCAGTGAGGCCAGCTTTCCAGCAGTCTGGCGTAGGCAGAGGGAGCACTGGACCGCAGCCATTTTGCAGATCCCAGCAACCTGCTGTCTTAAGCAACTTTGCTTGTGCCTAGAGAGAATCCTGCTTCTGATTGTGAGAAATGAAAACATAAGCTAATGTTTTTTCCATGTTATCAATTTTCTCCCAGTTTGCCTGGTGCTGGTAATTACCCTACTGGTAATTTCTACTTCTTTTGTTATTGTTTATGTTCTTTCATTATGATAATCTGGTATTCTCTCTAATACCTGATATATACAATAATAATTCAAAGAGCCAATGACATGTCTAGCCAAGAGAGGTTTATTATATATAGCAAAATAGAAGTATTAAAAGTGTTATTGCTGTGTGAACAAAATTTCTGTAGAAAAAAACCCAAAAACCACTCCTAAAACAACTGGCTTTTTCTACTTGGCAAACCAATCAAAGAGATTATTTCCCTTTTTTTTCAACATATTGCTTGTGCTTCTAAAAGGAGCAGGGAGCCACAGTGTCACACTCCCTTTACTAGATGTGGTTCAGCAAAGCATAAAGCATTTAAGAAAGACAGTATCAGTACTGCATGTGTAAAGCTGAGCCATTGTACATCCAAATGAGCGTGTAATTGTAATTGCACATGATATTAGTTTTGTAATGGCAAAGTGATGGCATTTTGCTGAAATTAAAGGACTCTTGGGTCAGCCTGGAGCAGACTTGTAGTTCCAAGTTTAAAAAGCCACTTTCAGTGTAATTTGTTATTCAATTATGCAGCCAAATGTAAGCAACCTATTTGCATATGTTACTGTGATTTATTCAGCAGTATTTTTGGATGAGACTTCTTTTTTTCTAAAACCACTTTCACAGTCATTTTATCATAAAGAAAAAAAAGCGATTCTTTCTAATGCTCCATGTTTTATTAGTCACTCAAGAGAACACTGAGCACTGAGCGACAAGAATGTACATGTAAAAGTATGTGTGCACACAAAAGATTTTAGTTGTAAGTTTGTGAAAGTGGCTACTTCAGCTAAACTGGTGACTTGTCCTGTGCAGAAGCATTTTTACCCCCTGCTTGTTCCTGAACGGTTTATTATACTGATGCTGTCCTTTCAACAGATTTGAGAATTCAGAATATTAAGCATGAGTATGAATCTTGTTCTTTTTAACTAGGGAAACTGTTGAACTAAAAATAGGAAGTTATTGCTGTATTAGGGCTTACCATGTGCAACTAAAAAGGGGTTTGAATGCTTATGATCAGCATATAATACTATATACATTAACATACGCAAATGTGAAACATTACTTCTGTCAACTGTCATGCTTCTCTTGGATTATGATTTTGTATTTTTCTTTAAAATTAATTTTCTAAGTTCAGTAATTATAACAGATTCTTGACATTTTTATTCAATATTTCTGATTTCTGTGAAAGTGGAGAAAATTCTTGTCATGGATCAAATGCACCATGCAAGCACCAAAAAAATCCCCAAATGTCAAATAAAAATAATAATATAAATAAATATATTAAAGATGTATAAAAAACCCCTATTCATTATTTGGGGGAGTGCTGCCTTGCTCATCTCTAATCACAGAGATTGCAGAACTGAACTGCAGAGGTTAATTACTAAACTGCACCTAAACTGAACATTCAGATTGTATGAACTGAATATTCTCAATAACTGCAGACACCGCACATCAAAATTTCAGCTGACCTTATTTTGTAGGCTGACATAAACCACCTGCACTTCCTGCTTCTAAAAGGGGATCCTAGAAGCTACTGGCAGGAGGATGAACAGGCCCGTTGAACATGTAGGCTCCTGTGTCAGAGAAATCAAACTTGCTTCATCACCTTGAAATTTATTATTATAAAATAACTAAATACAAATCACCTGATACTGGAATGGAATCATTCTGGTCTTGTTCAGCTTTTTCTAGATGCAAGCTATGGCTGATATACAAGGAATTAGAATAAAGTTTCTTACTTATATTTTAATTTACATCTTAATTTACTTAAAAGAGAAAGAGGTTAATATTTCTATAGTTTTTAAGTTAGTATCTGCCTTAAGTCAGTTCAGGGGTATTGTAGGTGGCATATCTAGGTATTGTATATCTAACAGCTTATAATGAACTATTAACACAGCAGTCAGTGTAACTTCAGCACTTACTGATCTTTCTGCATGTGTATCAGGGTTTTAAAAGCTTTGTACAGAACACGTTCAGCCCTCTCTGTCTTTGCACGTGTGTGTCTACTGCAGGACTGATAATGCTTCATGTAATGTCCAGCCAACATTATAATCATGGAAAAGGACAGGGACAACTACTGAAGCTTCTTTCCAGTTCACACTCCCTATTCCCTCTGGCCACAGGACAAGGAAGAGGCAGGGGATGAGCCTTAGTCTTGCCATAAAACAGAGTCTGGAGCACACAGCTGCCTACAGCATAGGGATCAGCTGGCTGCTGTGTGTGCTGTTGAAGACAGTGAAAGCATAAGAACATCAATCACTGCTTAACTGTACGGATCTGCAATCCCTTGCAGTGCAAACTAGCATGAGAGATCCAAGATAGTGTGTTGAAGTGATCTGAGTAATAGCAGTTTAGACAAATAGAGAAGAAAGTCTAACACGGGCAGTTTTCTCTGTCCACTTAGCCGCTGCCTTTCCTTTACCAGAAATAGCAGTTTGATAGAGTTAGTGAAGTAACTCTGGCCTGGGCAAGGACTCTTTGCAGTAGAGACTGATTTCCAGAAGCAGGAAGGCTCTGGCAAGTGAACATTTGCAGTGGAGTGCACCAAGGGAAAATCAATGCATTGTGGGGCTTGGCTTGGCATTGCCTACTGGAGATTATCCTGCTAAAAGAAGCCAGAAACTGTACAGTTTATGCTCCAATACACTCATTGTTTACTTACTCTGAGTTATTTAAGCTTGCCACTTCATTGTAGCAATGAGCCCATTAAATTTTAGCTGTTTTCGTAACTGGGGAGAGCAGGTTGTTCTGGCCAAGAAGGTGTTTTTTCTCACCCAGATGCTCTGAATCTTATCCTGTAATTTACTGTGTGCCTCTGAAACCCTGACAAAGGTAGGGAAGAAGGAAAGGTCACCAAACAGCAAATGAGAAAAGGGAACAACAGCAGGCCATAAACAAAAGAATTGTTGCTGTCATTAACCAAATATAGAATTAATTAAAAAAAAAAAACCACAACACACGCACAAAAAAAAACACACACAAAAAAAGCAAAAATAGTGCCTAGAAACCCTATTCTAGCAGTAAAGCCATAAAAGCATCACCGGAATAAGAATTAATTTGATTTTTTGAATAAGCAAAAGTCTCTTTCAGTATATGAATTGGAAAAAGAAATTAACTGCCTGCAAAATGAACAGATGGAATCTCCAATGCTATTGAGAATAAGCACAGAATGTGGCCCCCTAACTGGCAAAAACTAAAGAAAGGATTTTAGAGGGAAATACTGTTTGTTAATCAGTCTTTTCTCTGAGTATATGCTTACAGTGGTATTTGGCCCCACAAGGTAGTTACAGGTATTCCTTTGTTTTCATTTATAAATCTTATTCCTAGGGCTTTAAAAGTATTACAGTAATACTATGCCTTGGTCTGGAACAAATTTATACCAGTATATCGTATGTCTCAATATATTTCTACCACAGTTTATATTGTTACTTTAAAAAAATAAAAAATAAAAAAAAATTGGAATAACTATTTTTATGAAGACCTTTAATCCAGATGTACTGTTTAGCATACAAGTGTAGTGAAAGTAATTTGGGGGAAAAAAAAAAAAAAAAAAAAGTCTTTGTTTCTTGTAAGATGTAGCAAAAAAATAATAAATATTATTCCTCAAAGGTTGTAAATATAAAACATATTTTTAAGCAAGTATTCAACTTTTCATGCTTCTAACTGCCACTGCCAATTAAAACCAAGGTTTACAAGAAACCTGAACTTTTCTGGAATAGTCTTTTTAATAATGTATTAACTGCAGTTTAATCAACAAATATAGCTAATTTTTGGATTTATTTAGTTCGTAATCCAAAGTTTTAAATTAAGCTTGAAAGCATTTAGGAAGTTGAGATTTTCAAGGGAATGTTCTCAGCCATTTTTTGCATTACTTTTCACAAATCAATTTCAATAGGAAATGAAACAGCTTGTGGGCTGCTGCAACCCTGCCTCCACCCTGCCTACAACCAGGGCTAGATGTACATATTTTGAAAGTTAAACATGGGTGTCAGTATCTTGTTCTGAACATTAAGCATGTGCTGCCTTGGGTTAGGAATTTGCTGTTCAGTC